TAAAAAAAGATGTTACAGCACATGGAATGTCATGGAATTTCAGCTCTTTGAAATGAAGAGAAAGTTCCAGACTGCTGGAATATTAACTGGGAATTAATGTGCTGCCAGTAAGCCTTTGTCTTTCATGGTAATAGAATCGCTACTTCAACAGATAAGTCAAGCTAGAATTAGAGTACACGTTCAGCTTTGGTTTCAAACAGCTGGGAATTTTTTCAGTATTTATCTAGCTTAAGCATAAGGGTAAAAACTGAAACAATCTCCTTACTGAGGAGGAAGTACAGTACAACACAATTTTGCCAAACCAAGTCCTGCGTGTAGGCAAAAATGAGGACAACGAACACTTGCTAGGCTGATATTCAGTTTCATAAGCTAACCCACATCCACTGCATTCAGCACTTGTGAAAACAAAACATTTGGAATTTGTACAATCCCTGTGAATATTTCAGTATCAATACTAGGAGCAGCATATTTGTTCCCTACCCCCACTTAACTGCTGACAAAACAGCCTTTTAGAAAGCAAATGAAAAGTTAAGAGAGCTAATCATAAGGTACTGAATGGGCTTAGTTGAGACAGTTGCCTAAACCAATTAAGCACTGGAATTCACCAAGAATAAGGGACCTCTACATTCCCCTTTTGAAGCTTCATGCCTTTTTATTCCATAAAATTCCATCAGCTCCTCCCTTGGGGAAAAAACTAAAAAAAAAAAAAAAAAAAAAAAAAAAATCAAAAAAACACCCAAACAAAAACCCACAAAAAAAACCCCAACAAAAACCAAAAAGAACAACCAAAAACCAACCAAAAAAAGCACACCAAAAAAAAAACCAAACCCACAAAAATACCCAAAACCCAACACACACACACAAAACCACCAAGGAACAGCTACCTCAACTCACCCCCCCATGCAACAAGGAACAATACCTACCATGCAGGACTGCCACACAGTCTAAAAGGGGTTTATTAGCATTACAACTAACCTGGCTCTACTGGAAGAGGTGCCTCTTCTTTTACTGGTGTTTCCAGTTCTACAGCATCTTCAGCTGGGGAAGTCACCTCCACGATTTCTGAAATTGCCAGAAAGCAAACTGGTTGCTACATCCTTCCAAAGCACAAACCGACTTAGACAGACATAAAGCTTCACACTGAACTTCTATTTTAAGTTGTGCTATTACAAGTAAACAAAATCTGAATTTATGTAACACCAAACTAACTGAACTGCCACTTACTGAGTTAAAACAAAAGTTAGAGAATGCAGCTTATTTGAAAAACATCTGGGTTTCTAAGCAGTTGAACAGATTTATGTGATAGGTCCATTATTGGCTAAGAGGATTACTACTGCTTTTGAACATTATAAAAACCCTCAATCTCTTTAAAAGACAAGGGAAAAATGAAGGAATACTAATGAACTGCCCACTCTTGCTCTACTGTTCTATATGAAGAAATAAAAATCATAGATATAATTCAGTTACGCACTGTTCTCAATTCGTCACACACACTCCTTAAGTGGTAAGGAGCCACATAACTCATGTCAAATATTAAATAAAAAACAAAACAAAAAAAACCCAACCAAAACCCAAACCCAGCTAAATAACAAAAAAGCTGATTCAAGGAGCTTTTGGGTTTGTTTTTCTTTTAACTCAGGAATAGTCTTGAGAAGACCCACAGTAACAGCCCCACCCCAGGAAAGCCACAAAGCACATTCAATCCATGTCTAACCAGTGCAAGCTCTATGAACTACTTGCACCCTAGAAAGTGAAAACTGCTTTTATGTACAAGAAAACAAGTAAACAAATTGCCTCCAACTTAAAAGTACTAAAACTAAGATCAATCCCCTCTCATCCTGGGACATCAACTTAGACTTAATTGTAAGTCATTACTCACACTACATTGTATTTAACCTACATATGCACACAAAGCATTCAACCTCATCATCATAAAAAGCTTTTACATTCTGTACATCTCCAGCTTTTAGAAATTCTAAAGAAAATACTCGAGTTAAAGACAAAAAAAGCAAAAATCAAACAAACTTAATCCTTTGTTTTACAACAAATCAAAGTGAGCAGCCTTCAAAAGAACTTTAAAATCCTAATGCATCAGTACTCGAGCATGGGAGCAGGGATGTCAGAAGAACCTCAGAGCTGATTTTTTATTCCACAGACGCTCCCGGAAGTGTGACTGATGTATTAAGTATCCCCATATGCAAACCACACCTTCTTTATTTTCTGGCTGCTGCTGCTTCTTTTTCTTTTTGTCTTCATATATTGGCCTCTTCTTTGGCACAGAGTCTTTGGATGGCACTTCAACACCTGCAAAACAAATGTTAGAAAGAAAATTTGGGTGATTAGTTACTAAACATAGTTTAAAAATAAAACATGTTTTCTAGAACTGCAAGGTGGAGGAAGGGAGTGGAAATGCATATTTTATCTTTTTGAAAAGACTGATTTTCAAAAGCTGTAGAGACTGAATGGTCTCAAAAGTCAGATTACTAATGGGAAGAAAACAGTCTGATCCGAAGACTTCCGGTTTGAAGCTTCTCTAGATTTCATGAACACACACATGCAAAGTTTAACAGCACATGTTGATTTAAAGAGCCATGGTAAAATTCTTAAAGCCAGTCTGCCAATCACCCTCATTTCAGAAAATCTGGAGCAGTTAAGAGGCGCAGCTTTTAAAAGCCTAAAGTTGTTCAGTAGATAGCATTTTCTCTTTTGCTCATTGTCGGGGGGGTTGTCTGTTACGTTTAACAACATAGATGGTTTTAGGTATTAAGATATGCCAGGTTCAATTCATCAGCTTCATCTTCACCTGTGATGTTGGAAGGGATTCAGTTAAAAAACAAGAAGTTTAGCGCAAAAAACAAATTAGTAATTCAATTACTGCTGCACCTTCTGAAAATTCCTTCAGGTACCGTGTGACTTACAGCGTAGATTTGACAAAAATCCAGCTGTGGCAGCACACGAATAGAAGGATTCTAATAACAACAGCAACAACTGAAGAGAAACGGCCTTTGCGTATGTTTAAGAGCTCCAAACATTTTACTAGCTACAGAGATTCCTACCCTTACACCTCAACCTACCAGCAGTGTCAGACAGTGTTCCCTACAAATACCAAGAACTCATTTCTTTAACCACAAGTTACCAGGAACAAATTCATACATGGGCTTACAACACACTGGATACATTTATTTCATTGCAAACTTGTATTTGATGGAAAAAAACTGGAAAGCTCCTGTTACACACTTTTCCAGAAGCAAATGCAAGAAAGAGGGTAATATGCTGTCCCCATGGACTAACTAACTTGACAAAAGCAATGCACTTGCTTAAGGGAGCACATGAATTAATTCACAACGATACAAGACCTGCAGCACAACCCATCTGCTTTTCTTGGCCTTTGGACTAAGCAATGGAAAGAAGTGATTTCTCCTAAGTTCTTTAACTAACATCTTTAGACTGCAAGTGAACTATATTAAGGAGTTGGATATTTAAAGTGTAAGATGAAAATACAGACATTTAAACCTACTTTTGAAAAGATGGATGCCATACACACTGCCTTCCTAGACAACAGAGGAGTTTCACATGGAATTACTCAGGATTCCCCCCCCAGCTCCAGATAGAAAAAACATACACAGGGAAGGGGTATGATTTATTAGTAGTAGTATTAATCTTTACTACTTACCCTGAGCTTGAAGTAGTTTAAGAGTAGCCTCTGCTCTGGCTCTGGCTTCTCGTTGAGCTTTTGTTAAAAGTTTTCCCTCTTTCTTCAATCGCTCCTTCCTCTCTTTTTCCTTCTGTTTCTTCCTTTCTTTCCTCTCTTGCTCTAATCGTTCCTAGAAGGTGGTTAAAAAAAAAAATAAAAAAGCCATGCAGGAATGTTAAAGCATGCTTCACACAAAAGCTGGCCAAGTACATATTCTATTGATGAGAAATGTGTGAAGGACTAATCCAACAACTGCACCAGCAAGGGGACAGGTTAAGATTACCCTGAGGATAGAATCAAAGAGACTGTAAGATACACAGTACCTCCTCTTTGCGTTTTGCTTCTAGCTCCTCCAGTCGTCTTATGCGTTCTTCCTCCTCCCTTTTTGCCCTTTCCTCCTCCTCTTTCATTTTAGCTAAGGCTTCCTGCATAGCTTTAACCGTGGCTTTACTGGGACCCTTTTTCTTCTCTTTCTCTTTTTCTTCTTTCTCCCCTTTCTTCTTTTTCTTGTCTTTCTTCTTTTTGTCCCCCTCATTGTCATCACCTACAGAAAGAGCCAGCAAACATTCAAAGATCCGAGAAATTTTAAAGATACTCTAAATATAATTAATGTTTCAAATATAATAAGTAACATCAAACAAAGAACATTTTGACTGGCTACTATATAAGCACTTTGTAATGAAAAAAATAAAACTGTCTGAAGTCTTAAAGTAGCAGAATAACTGGGAACTGAAAAGTATGTTTGCAATATAGAACCATAATCACATCCTGCAATGAGAATTCACCATCTGTCTCTTGTTTTCCCATGTACCTGAACAAAATACAGGCCAGAAAAAACAGCCACATGGGAGCCAACACAAAGACACAGACAAGGCTACCAAATGTCTAGTATTCCCAATTCAGAACAAAGCAACGAGTCATCCTCACTGTGTGCCAACTCTTTGGCCTTAGAAAAGCTACAGTGTTTAAATTACAGTTTCAAAAACCACATTACAAACCCTCTGTTGCTGCAGGAGTCTCGCCAGGGGTTGCCACGACTTCAGAAGCTTTCTCTTCAGCCTTTTTTTGAGCTTCCTTCAGCTTGGCTGGTTCTTTACCACCTTCCAGCTCTTCCTTCTCTTTCTGCTTCCTCAGTTTGGCTTTTTCTTCCTCACGTTTTTTCCTTTCACGTTCTTTTTTTTCTGCCTTCTTCTGAGCCACTGTTTTTACTTTGAATGAAGGTTCATCATCATCGTCCCCACTTTCTGCAGCAGGAGTAGACTTCAGTTTCTGGTTTTTCTTTTGTCCTTTTCTAGACTGGGAGACATCATCTGATTCATCACCACTCTCACCTGTAGACATTGCCCCTGCACGGTCTTTGCTTTTCTTAATGTTAGTTTCATCTTCTTCTGACAGGTCATGCTTTTTATTTGACTTCTGAGTTTTCCCTTTGCTTTTCTTAAGCTGTATTTCATGATCATCATCATCACTGCCAGAAAGCATGTCTTGTTTTGATTTCTGAGCTTTTTTAGATTTTTTATCTTTATCTTCCACTTCTTCACTGTCATAGTCGTTTTCCAGATTGGCTTTTTTACTCTTTCCTTTCCTTTTTTTGTCTTGTTTTGATAAGCTTTCTTCATTGTCATTTTCAACCTGGTAATTAAACAACTCAAAAATCAGCCATGAAAAATTACTTGCTATTGTGAGCTAAGCAGCAGCACTGAAAGATGTCAAGAAAGACTTCTTTTATTGAAGACAAACTCTGAAAGCAGTAACTATTCCTGCAAAGTGTACACCACCTCAACCCACAATTAAAATTTATTCTGATTGGCTTTGAATAATTATTAGTATGAGGATATGGCTTCTGTTAAAATCTCTCACCAGTTACTTTACTATGAAAATATTATCAAGTATAATTAGATATACATGAATGTTTCACTATATGACAACACTAGAACTTTTCTGGGACAGAGGTGCCTTATATTTTACTATGCCTGTAATTAGCCCACTTCCCCATCAGTGTTCACCTTTCCTGTAGAAGGTTCCCTGTCAACTTTCCCTCCTTGTGCCTCTATTGACAGTTCTTCCAGCTCCTTCAGGATATCATCTTCACTAAAAAAAGAGACATGTTAAGGTACTTAAGTAACTGAGGTTTTGTAAAATGGAATAAAATAAGACAGAAAAAAAAAAAAAAAAGAAAAGAAAAAACCAAACAAAACAAACCACCAAGCTTACTCAAAATCCTGTTTCTTCTTCTCTTTTTTCTTTTTGCCTTTAGATTTCTGAGGCTCTTGCTCCTTTGCCGCTCCTGCACCCTCTATCTCAGCAGCAAGGGCATCAATATCAATATCATCTTTTGCACTAAAACACGAAAGAAAAGCAGGGTTATCAAGAATTCCAATGTTAAGTTTACAAAGGTAGAAGCTATCTGCATAAAACAAAAGCTTCAAAATGCAAAATATCAATCACAAAACATCAACATCACATGGGGGAAACTCACATTTAACAAACCATTATGCCCTATTACCTTATTCCACCCAAAAGGTCACAAAGGAAAAACCCTCACACCGCTTGAAGGGAGGTGGGACAGTGAAACATGCTCAGCTCCTGCAACGTGAGCTTTAAAATGTTAGGTTTGAGATTTTATAAAACTTCTTAGAAAAACGTAACTGGACTCTTTCACTTTGTTCCTCCAAATGACAAATGGTTTAGCCCTTCAAATCACAGTAATGACAGTAGGTGTCATTAATAGAAAAGCAGCCCCCACAATCAAAGTCTAAAATCAAAGCACAAATAGAAGAAAACTTGCAACTTAATAACCACAAAGTTCTATTAGCAAGCACTTATCTGCTCCTTTAAACACTCTTTAGCAAACAAAAAAAGCTATTGTATATTTATTTAGCAAGTAGAAGTTCTTCACAGCTTCCAACTTAAAACAGTTGCCTATGCTTTGCCCTCAGACTGAAAAGTTTCTTATCTTTCAAAAATAAAAGTAGTCACACAGAGGAACACAGTTCAGCCCCGAGACAGACTCTAAAGCAGATCAGAGAAAACACCAGTGCAGTTGGCAATCAGTCCTTTCCACTACTTACCTTAGTATCACTTCTCCCAAGCCTAAAGATAGCCAGAAGTTTCACTAGACACCTGAAATACGCATCCGTCCTCATTAGATCTCCTGATATCAAGTTTCTCTTTCAAAAGCATTTTCGTTTTCTAACCTCTCATCTGCAACTAAACACAAGTGGGCTTTTTACTGTCCTTTATCAATATTTGTGATTTGGATACACTTTTCTTGACTTGTACCACAAGAATTGAGCAAAGGCTAAGCCTAGTGTCCAGAGGTTTTTCCACCTAACCACACTCAATACAGCTATCAGAAAGAAGACCTACCTATTCCCTGCTTCATACTTAGAACCCTAGTAATAGACCAAAATTGGTCTATTAAAGTAGCCAGTATTATTTTACCAGAACTTGCAGCTTCCAAAAAAACAAACATACATTCAATCAATATGTATCTAACTCCTTCTTTGATACATGGGCAGAAATCTGTTCTTTGTCTCACAATTTCACTGCCTCAATTATTACCACCCACTAACAGCAAATCAACCAAAGACTGACCCACCAAATACCTGAATCTATAACCAGAAAATAGATTTATCTATTTACTAAATATCCAGGAAACAAACTTCTTCCAAAATCAGGACCTCTACGATGTCAGCAAATTCTAAACTACCAGAACTTCAGCCTTGCCAATTTACAAACCCAGAAGCTGAATATTAACAAAAAAAATCAAGTACCTTTAAAGATCCTGAAATTCAGTGAGTCTAAGCTATATTTCCCTTTGCAAAAGGAGTGGGCTGGGAGAATCGTTTTCCAAGTTCAAGTGAATGCTTACAGTCACAAACCCATTTTATCCCAAATATTGGACATAACCAAGTCACCAAACACTGTCTATATGTGACAACAGCACAAGTAAGCAACGATGCACTTTTTCTTATAAGGCCAAGACTGATTATTTGTATTTTTAAGATCTTAAATTTTCTTGCTTATAGACTGAACAATCCACATAAAAAACATCACAGTGAAGCACCTCACTGCACATCATCTTTATTAGCAGAAATACTCTAATTTTAGTCAAGAGAAGAAACCCCACACCTTAAATATAACTAATAGTACTACTTCTGTGCTGAGTAATACATTTCTTTGAGAAATGTAACTCTCAAATAGTTAATGCCTAATTTCTAAACCAATCCCTACCACCCTCAAGAGGAAATAATAAACTTTTTGGCCATTTCCACCTTACAAACAGCTGACTTGATGTTTCAGCAAATTAAAAGCTGTTTTTATAAGCAATTTAACTGGCTGTGCACCAGGAGTAGCATAAACAGCTGAAATAAAAATGTCACCTAGAGTTAAAGCCACAGTACCAGGCTAACTACATTACATCCAGGCCTACATATAGGCCCCCTCATTTCTTTTTCATTAAATGCAGAATATCGGTTTATTAAGCACATTTGCTTACCTCCTTTTACTTTAGAAGTTAAGGGAGAAGATAAAGTCAAATCCAAGCTTGAAATAGTTTGAAGCGACCAAAATACAAGCTCCACCACTACATCTTCCATGGCTGCACTGCTCCCACTACTGCAGAATCTTAACCATATGGCTGTACAGGTACTAAAGAGCCAAGTCTTTCAACAGCTCATATTTTACATGGATATTTTCAAGGCTGACTTTTCACATTGCAATTTTGCAGAAAGTTATGTCCAAACATAATACACATAGGTTTTATGCTACTAGCAAGGAGGATGCTTAGACTACCTTATGTTTTCCAGGATATGGGCTTTAAGGGGGTGGGAGTTCATTTGTTTTCAAATCAACACACTTCAACTGAACCTTGAAGAAAACCTTTTGGGGGCGAAGAATCTCTGAAATCAAACACAAAAAAAATTCATAAGCAGTAAGCTTTAACACCCACCAGCAAGAACAATTTAGGAACAATAACGAAGACTGTTCAGCTGTCACGACAGTGGCATAAATATAGTACAAGAGCCTTTCCAGCCTTGGCTTTCACTGCTTAACAGACAAGGGTTTCCAAGAATCACAGAATGGTTTGGGTTGGAAAGGACCTTAAGATCATCTAATTCCAACCCTCTGCCATGGGCAGGAACACCTTCCAGTAGACCATGTCACCCAAGGCTCTGTCCAACCTGGCCTTGAACACTGACAAAGAAATCTATACTTTACATTACATTTGCACTTACTAAGAAGTGACACAGCAAGCTTCAAACATTTGAGCCTCAATGAAATGAAAGTAAAATTAAGGCTGCATACACATATATAAACAGCAATATATCCAGTTATAATTCTTCTTAAGAACTGTAAAGCAGGAGTATCACTGGAAAGCCAAGAAATTCAAATACTGGCTTCCATTACTATGAGTTTATTCCCATACTGACCTGGAATTTCTTTACCTTTAAAAACTCTAATAATATTCCACTAGGATTTCATAATAACAAAGTTGAAAATAACACTGAGAAGATGCCCTCTCTCTCTTCCTGAGTGGTTCTTAAGTCAGAAGGAACCTACTGCACTTAAGACACTTAACAGGAGACCTTCCTTCCCGTTGGCATTGGAAGATACACCTCGGAACTCTTTCCTGTAAACCTTTTTAAGCAGTCCCCAAAAGCATGTTTCAGAAACCCAAACAACTCTTGTAGGAACTTCCTCCTCCAAAAGGTCTCCACACAGCCTCTCTTGCCCCTCCACTTAGCCTTTTGCAAGGATCCTAACCCCAACACTAAGAGTACCTGATACAGGAACCTGACAGCACCACTATGCTTAAACAGTTTTCAATTCTGACCTCAAATCACTTTCACATGAAGACTTTATCTATAGACTTCACAGCCTTGCTACCTTGGGCCATTCAAGCCCATAATGCTTTGGGCTCAAGAGAGGCTTGCTGTTGAGCAGGCTTGCACATCAAAATAACTTACTCCCCTGATTTTCTCTTGTCTGTTCCAGAAGTGAAGCCTGAGCCACCTTTCTTACTCACATACTTTTGATTCCAGCCTCTAGTTTTGCTACCAGATATGAAGAGAGTTCTGGTATCGCTAAAACAGCATTTCAATGCAATAAATACAGCAGGAGTTTGGTGTGTGCACTGTGCTCAAACCTAAACAATTTTTTTCAAAACCCTAAATGGCCAGAGACATTCCTTCATGAAAAGCTGTGCTTAATACAGAGCAAGCTATGCAGAAAGATGCAGCAGTTAGGCTAATTAAAAGAGATTGCAGGAATCAATGATGAGTGTGCAGAGATACCAAGCAAAACCAGTTTTCTTTAGAGTCACATCACTGATTAAAAGTCTTCCCCTACAAAATTTTACTGTCTTTTCCCATTAAGCAGGATTTTAGCAATGTAACACTTCGACATATTCCAAAACATTTTAGAAGTAGCATACAGAAACATTCACGTACTTTAAAATGAAATATATTGACCTAACTGCCTTAGAAATTACATTAAGAAACCATCTCTTGCCCAGAAGGGTTCCAGCAAAGGCTACTGAAAACCTGCATTACATAGGGAAAGCCCTTTCTGAACAGATTCCCAAATATTCACTGGGTCACTACTTAAATGCTGTGCCAGCACACCGTTCTGTACCAGACCAGGATCAAATATACACAGAGCATCCCAAGTAAGTATTCAGAGATTTTTCAGATGGGTGTGGGCAACAAAGGAAATTCAACATCTCCTCGCATGCAATCAAAGCATCAAATCAGGCCAGTAACAAAGTGACACTCCAAAACACAACCTAAGCCACTGTGTAAAGCAAAACCAGCCACAAACAAAGCTACAATCGCAAATTCTGCCTGTAAGAGAAATTATAAGATGTTTTCAGTGTGAAGATTAAAGCAGAGTTAGGAAATAAATGAAGAGCTGTCACCTACCGCTGCTCAGTCAGATGGAAAAAGACAGCCAGTAGCTCTCCTACTTATAAGATCCCACACAATTGCAAGCTATTGAGTCAGAAAAGTGGAAAAGCCTCGTGACTGATAGATGCACACAGTCTAGAGAAAAAAAACAACACTGCAGTGTTTCTCTTGCTAGTGCAGCAAGGAAACAGTATGTAAGACTAGAACCCCAGTAGAAAAAAAAAACAAAATAAAAAATAAAAATCCCTCAGCTAGTATATAGCAACTGCTGAAAAAATACTAAAATAGCACATACCTTAAGGTGTTAGGCTCTTTTTTTTTTTTTTCCCTGGGGGTAGGGCAGAGTAGGGGAGTTTAAAACATAAAAGCAGTTTTGGAGCAAGCTCTTTTTCTGATGCAATGGTCTGCAACAGCCAGAACCTAGAAATCCCCATGGAAGCCATCGTGAGGCCAGAGTTCACCCTCACCCAAGGTTTACATTAATCCTAGTTTCCACATGCTAGGGTTTGGGTTAGTCTTAAGGGCACACTTTGCCATTTTGCTTATAAACACTTCAGTTGTAAAGTTTCATAATTTCTAATGCTTTCTTACAACAAGCAAGATGCATGTTTGAAGTATCACCTTTTCTTTGGGAGTCTAGCGTGTTACAGGTGTAAATTAGTGCACATCTCACCAGAACAGAAGTTATCATGCTCCAAATCAAGATTTAAACTTACAATTCTGAAAGATGTTAGGAAGCTTTAATGGTTTCTAAGTATGTCAGAACAGTTACAAATATATTTTAATTATCTATCACGTATCTTCCATGGAAGGTTAAAAAAAAATTACTCCAAGTACTGGCATAATTAATATACTCATCAATAGGGATTTTCATAGTGTGAAGATTCCATACTAAGGACAGATGTTGTATGCAGCACAATCTCTTTAAGAGACAAATCTAGGCATAGAAACTTGAAAGACTTCTTGGGCATTGCCCCAGGAAAGGAGGCCAAACACAGGGAAGATAGGACTACAGCTATCAAAGTATGAGTCAATAGCCTTTTAGCATTTTTCTTTGTGCGGTGAACTTCTGCAGCTGAAATGCACAACTGCCCTGCCCTTCCTTGTCAAACAAGCTCCTCCAGCTTCCCATGCAGGTTCTAGGGAAGGACAGCATTACAGGTCAGTTGACACCAACAACATTTCACAGATAGTCTCTGCTAACAGACAAGCATATTAGCAAGACTACCACACAGGCATGTTTTCCTCGTGCTCTTTCCTCAGATCACACAAAATTACATCTTTGAGTACATTTATTATAGTACCCACAATACATATCCCCAAACGCAGGGTAAAACTTCACTCTAACCTGGCACTGTGCATCTACATGTGACAGAGATGGCATCCTGACTAGGCAGCAGTAAGATAAAGAGTAAAGGAAACTATTAATCCATCCATGAACTGCAAGAGTGGAGCAACAGGATTCATTAGCAGTATAAAGGAGATGAGTTGCCCACGTTTATATCAATTTAACTCTAGTGAAATTAGTTAAATGAAACTGCAGAAATTAAATGGAAGAATCCAGCTTAAAATGAGGACAAGCCCTACTGGAAATCCAACATCTAGTTTTGCAAACTAAGTCAACAATGTAACACACTCCTGCTG